ATACAAATTGCTGCACTTTATATTTACTTTTTCCTCCTGTTACATAGTTTTTGTTTCTTACTTGTATTTTAATAGCCTCACTATATATTTCGTATTTGTAGTAAATTGTTCAAATACTTTTTAGAAGCAGTAAGTGGTATAAATTATAAATAAGTAGTCTATGATTTATGGAACATTGGAAATGTTATGTAATCAAAATTCAGTTCCTAGAAACAAACAAAATAAACCTTTCAAAGTTACAAAAAAACTTGTATCAAATGAGCTTGATAGTTGTGTGGCCAGAGAAGCAGGAGGCCCAGGAGCCCCGAAACCAGCTCCACCAAAACAGACGCCAAGTTCTGAGAGGGAGGAAGTCCGGGAGGGCGGGAGGTGAGCAATACTCTCGTCCTGCAGAGGCGTGAGGCATGCTCCCTGGTTGCAGCAATTAAGGCTGGAAACCAGGGCGAGAGTGATGCCAGGGAAGTGGGGGAGGGGCAGCCACACTGAAGTGTCTTTGGCGTTAGGGAATGATTAGGAGCAAGAAAGTGGAAAGGCAAGCGTCCGTGCTGCTTCCAGAACCTGGCTGTGGGGGCAGAAACGAGAGGAAAGGGGTGGAGGAGGGATTTTTCTTCTTCTCGGCCCCTTTTGATAGACAAGACTTGCTTGTTTCTGTACACTCTGCGCAGCTATTTACCAGGCAACTGTATGTGACAGGCAGCCCCAAGAGTCTGGGCTAAAGCAGAGGAAGGGACAGACAGACACCCTTGCTGTGGAGGCGCTTGCGTTCTAGCGGGGAGCAGGGCCCAGGGGCAGCAAGTCAGGCCGAATGAGCGGATGCGACCGACATGATGTAGGCATGTGAGGAAGGGAAAGTTCAGCAAAGTTGGGGGGCGGAGGGGTGAGAGCGGCCCAGGTGCACAGGTGGGCCTGTTGAGATGGTGAGGCGAAGCAAACAAAGGCTCGGAGGAGGTGAAGGAGCTGGTCGGGCAGATTTCAGGGGAAGAGAGTCCCAAGCAGACATAGAGAAGAAGCACAGGCGGGCCGGCGGGGCTGGCGGCTCCAGGGACCGCGGGGGGGGGGGGGGGGGGGCGAGTGACAGGGGGAGAAGTGTAACCAATACAGCAAGTCCCCAGAGGGCACAAGAGAGTGACATTCAGAAGACGGGCCTCAGAACCTGGAGGAAAGAGGCCGAAGACGGCAGAGAAGCCTGTGCGTCCAGAGGAAGCGGAGGGAGTTCATGCCTTTCTTCAGAGGAGGGGCAGGCCAGGTTTTGTGCCAAGCACGAGGCAATGGGGAAGCTTGAGGACGGCGGTCAAGATTTTAGAAAAGCCGCTGTGGAGAAGGGGAAGGAATTGAGCAGAACTGCGGAGACAGCCGCAGGCGAGCTCAGCCTCCCACCGCGGAGCCTGCCCCCCGACCCGACCCGCAGGGTGTGGAACGTGGGAGTGACGGAGGCTGGCATCCACACGGTGGGTCCTGCAGAACAATACAGAATAAAAACCGCAAGAGCTCGTGAGAACACAGCGGGAACAATGTGCCCCAGAAGTCACAGGAAGTAAAATCCGGTGAGGCCGATACTTGGGCTGGACTAAGAAACTCAGGTGGGAGAACACACAGAGACGTGAGAGTGACCCCCATAGATGTGATCAGCGTGTAAGATCTGAATGTAAATTTCAGACCCACAGACAGGTCTGAAGGGGACACACCCTGGGTGCTGTGGCTGCAATACTGAGCTCCTGGAACAAAGTGAAGCCCGTGTTGGCTGGAGCTGAAGTCAGGAATTTTAAGGTTCTAGATTCCGTGACGTGACAAAGGGAGGTGAGCACAGGGGTTACTGACGACTATTAGTGACCGTGGGGGCGTAACTTGAGCTCTGGCTCAGCCTCTCCCTCCTTACAGTGGGGCTCACAGTATCTATTTGCTAGGGTGGCCGAAAGAAGTAAACTGGGGAATGAATGTAAAGCGCCCACAAAGAGCTGACACATAGTCAGCTCACTGTGAGTCCTTGTACCATTGTTGCTGTTTTGTTATTGTTTCCACGTTGGCATCTGCCAGGATGATGTCAGCAACGCAGAAGGAAAGGAGAACCAAGTCTCCAAGCCATCGAGTGGCGGGCACAGCCGAATGAAATGCTTCTGCGTAAACAAGGTGGCATTAAATATAAAAATATTTAAAAATCTATCAGATAGATATTTACAATCTTGTGATTTAAAACACCTACGCAAACCACCACAAAACAATCAGAGAAGTGGCAACGGGACATTAATAACTAGCACCGCAGGGCAGAGCAAAGGGGAAGGGTCTCGTCTGAGCCAGGGACGCAGCCTCAGCGCAGGCGGCAGCGCCCAGGCGGAAGGAAACAGAAAGCTGGAGTGACGCTCGCCTTTCTATGACTTGACACAAATGATGAAGCGCAAGTTCCTTGATGGTGAAGAACTGATCTGCACTCGCACTTCACCGGTAATGAACGCAGCAACATGCACGCAAGTGAATCACCTCGTTTAATGGGTAATGAGCCACGAACCAAAACGTCCAACTGAAAGAGGGGCCCAGCTCAGCTTCTGCGGCTGCTTTTCCTACCACAATCACATCTGCCGGGTTTCTCTTCCATCCTGATGAGCCGCGTGAAAAAAAGTTCAAAATGTCCACTCTTTTATGGACCCCAGAAATTCACCAGCCTCTCCCAACAAGGCCACCTTGCCGACAGAATGACACTTTCCAGAGCCCTCTAAAGGGATATTCCGTCACTTTCCAATACCAAAGGCACGTTCACTTCTGGACAGACCTGCGGAGAGCAGCAGCCTGGAAAGGGGCCTACTGACAATCAGGCCGGGGCCAGCCCAGTGTGCCCTTGACGATGCACCCAAAGCCCAGCAGAGGAACCGGCCAGGAAGCTTTGGCCTTGGAGGGAGTGTGTCAGCTCTTCTGGGGAGTTTATTCCCTGCACACATTCAAAGTGGCAAAGAGAAAAAAGAAAACTGCATCTATATCTGGTCTTAAAAAGGAAAAAGGCTATTATAAGCCTTAGAAACTACTGAATTGGATAAGTTTTGGGAAAATATTCATCAGAGCAGAGCTGTAGAGATTGATAACATTTTGCCTACGCTTCAGATTCAAATCACTTTACTGAACTTCCTTTGGAACTAACTACCCTTAAATTCCTTGACCTGGGCTCAGGCGAATGTTGGCTCCTTTCTGTTCCGGGAACTCTGATTCTACCAAATGATGAAATTATATTTAACCACAATTCTTCAAAACTTTTTATTAATAACTGTAAAAATTTAAACTTAGAAATATTTCTTAACTGGGGTAATAATTCTCATACTCTAATACTAAAAACCAAAAACAACCACTTGTTTCTGCCCACCCAGGGAAGCAAACAAGAAACAAACCCACAAACCCACTAGTTTCTGTTGAAGCCATTTTTGATGCAACCAAATTCTAAAAGGCAAGCTTAATGAGAAATAAAAAAAGTGGTGGATCTCCTAGAAAATCCTCACTGAAATGTTTAAGTAGGTCAACCTAAACCTAAGAAGTTATACGCATTGATTCACTGAGAGATGCAGTTTGAATAAACAAAAGGCACACAGAAGGCAGCACAGCACTCCCCGCCAGAGCAGACCCCAGGGCCCAGGCTGAGTCTGGTTACTGATCCTCTCCAGGTCTGCTCCGCAATGCCAACGTGTGTGTGCACCCTTCACCCCCTATACCCTTTACCAGCATGCAGCAGCTCCACTCACCTTATAATCCCACAGCCACATCAAGCTAATTAGAAAGCATCCCCTCCCTTAGAGAACACGAGCTAAGATTTTTATTATGACTAAGCTAAGTTGACAAAATGCCAGCCTTTAAATAAAATACCCACCATGATATCACGTAAGAGCTATTCAAATCCAATCACCTTACTTTCATCTGGCTCAAACAGACACGTCTATGACACAAAGCAACATGTTCGGTGCAGAACAGCTGCCTGGAACAGCCAGAGCTATGTGCGCAAAGGATCTGTTGACAGTCTAATTTCGGCAACCCCGAGATTCCACAAAGATGACAAACCTGCAGCCGCAGAATCACTGCTGCAAGCCTCTCCCACGATCACAATACTCCATCTTCCTTCATCTCTGCATGTGGAGTCACTTTGAAAACCCATCCATCCGCTGCAGTTCTCAGATGTGCCGGGGAAGGCAGGCACCTGCGGGCCTGGCGTCCCTAGCACTGGCCACACATGAGACAGAAACACAGTATTGCACCCCAACAAGAACGGAATCTGGAAGGCATTTTTCCCTGGAAGCTCGATTAGCAATTCACGGAGGAGAAAAAGTGATCTGGGAGTTCAGTGCTGGTGTGTGGCCGGGAATGTTTTGTGTTGCACGAACAATGACTGGCTTGATCCGGCAGCCTCCCAACCCCCACCACTTGGCTTCTGGTGCAGCCAGTCACCCTGAAAGCTGCCAGGGCTGTCACTCGGTGCCTTCCAGCAACCGGACTTGGCTCCTAAAGGATTTGTCAGATCATCCTCCCAATATGGCTGCCAGGGCGCTCCCGGGCCGCCGAGCGCGGAGCCCACCCGGCCCCCTCGGCGCGGGCCCGCGTCCAGCCGGCCCGGCCCTTCCCTCGCGCCCCTCTCCGACCCCCCGCCTCCCTCCGCCCCCCGGCAAAGGGCACGACGCGCTCCCGGCGAGGCCCCGGGGGCCCCGCCCCCCCGGGCGGGGGGACGGGGATAAGGGGGGCCCCACGCCGGGGCGCGCCGCGTCCAGCCGGCTGCAGCGCGCGCAGCGCCCAGGGGCGCGACCCGCGGCGGGGCGGCTGACCGCGGGGCGCCGCTCTGGGAAGCGGGGCGCGGCGCGGGGCCCTGCGGGGGTCCCCCAGGCCGCCGGGGCCCCGAGGGGCTCCCCCGCCCCGCCCGGCGCCGCGGAGGGCAGCGCCCGGGCCCCGCGCTCCCCCGCCCGGACCCGCCCGCGCCCGCCCCCGCCCCCGCCCCGCCGGCCTCCCCGCCGCCAACCGCCGCCCTCCCCGCCGCTCACCTCAGCGCTGCGGGCGGCGGGCGGGTCAGCGGGCGCCGCGGCGCGGCGCGCGGGGGCGCGGGGGGCCGGGCAGCGACGCGCCTCAGCCGCGAGCCGCAGGGCGCCGCGCGGCAGCCCCATCACCGGGGGCGCGGGCCCGCATCCAGGCCGCGGCGGGGACGGCGGGAGCGGCGAGCGGGAGCGCGGGGACTCCGGGCGCCTCCCGGGACCGCCGCCGTCTGACTGGCCGCGTCGCGGTCGCGCAGCTCCGCCCGCGGGCGCCGGCGCGGACACCGCCCCGGCCCGCCGCGCGCGTCACCGCGCCCGCCCCGGCGCCGGACCGACGGGCGCGCCGGCCAATCGGCGCGCAGGGCCCCGGGCGGCCGGCCAATCGCAGAGGGCCGGGGGTGGGCCGGGGCGGGGCGGGGCCGCGAGCGCGCCCCCTGGCGGTCCCGAAGCCGGGGCGCGTGAGGGGGTGCGGGGTGCGGGTGCACGAGGCCGGCGCCCGCCGTCCCCGCCCGGGGGACCCCAGAAGGGCGGCGGTGGGCGGCAGCCGCGCCCGCCCGCCGGCCGATCCGCCCTGTAGGCGCACCGGCTCGGCGGCGCGGGGGGCGCGGGGGGCGCGGGGGGCGCGGGGCGGGGTCCGACGCCCGCGGGCGGCGCGGCCGGGAGGGGCGGCCGGGGCGTCATTGTCGGTTCGCAGAACATCGCCCGCCCGAGGCGGCCGGTCCCGGCGCGGTCGGAACCGAGACGCGCGAGGGTGAGCGCGCCCCGCCCGCCGCGGAGCCTCCCGGCCCGTCCCCGCCGCGCGAGGGGCGCCTCCCACGGGGCGGGACGAGCGGCGGGAAGCCGGGCCGGGGGCGCCCGCTCCCCTCCGCCGCGGCCGAGTCGGGCCGCCCGAGCCGGGACCGGCCCGGTTGGGCCGCCCGGGGACCCAGCCCCGCGGGACGCGCCCTGGGAGGGGTTGCTGGAATCACCCGGAGAACGCGGGCGCTCCAGCTGCGATTTTTTAAAAAATCAGATTGAGTCAGCGCAACCTGAAAACCCAACTGTTCATGAGCGCGCCGGCTCATGACTATAGACTATAGAATATTATATTGAACGGTTATGGGTGCAGGGTATTGCCGAGCGTGCTAGAAGGTTGGGAAATGCTTTTTGATTTACTAGCAGAAATTCAAATAAAAATCGGACACACGCACACACACACACCCCCAATTCAGTACAGTACTGAGTATAAAAAGGTTTCCTTATAAACAAAGACGCTAAAACATCAGAATTATTTTTCTATGCTCATGATTTTGGAAAATCGCCATCGACAATAAAGTCTTCATCATCTCCATCCAGTCAACATGTATCGAATATTTCTCATTTTACTGAGAATTTAAATTCCAGCTATCTGCAAAAGGACTTGACGTGGCTTCCACTGAAGCATGCAAGCAATAAAACTAGCATTAAAATAGGAGTAGAATGAATAATTAAAAACAAGTTATAAAGGCTGAATGGGTGGGGTTGTATGACTAAGGGGAGTGCACAGAAAGAAAAAAAGTTAACACAAGGGAATGTGCTACCTTTGATCACAAACCCAGGTCTTAGCTTCCCAAGGGCCAAGTGAAAAATGCAGCTACAATGGGTTAATTACTAGAAGGTCGTCTTTTCATCAGTAAACACCGGGTTTTTCCTAGCTTGGAGCACTTTGCATTAAGTACTGAGATAAGCACCATGGAGAGTTACAAAAACCTGCCTGGATAGTAATTTTATAGTTTTGAGCACTCAGTGGAGCTCAAACTCAAAAGAATCTGAAACTTAGTGAAGAGAATCAGCATGAGATAAATTAAGCAAAAGCACACAAAGCAGGGTTGATTGACACAGATACAACTGGTCTAGGTTTCAAGGCCAAAATAGCCTGCTCTGCATAAGCCTTTTGCCCTCTGACAGTTGCAACATACTAGAAAACCGAATTTAGTCATGGCCCTGGAGGGTTGTCCTAGAATACAAGGGTTGTCTACAATACAAAGAACATACAAAGACATAGAAATGTGATGCACATGGTCGCACCACTACCACCCATAAGGTTTCTGGATACAAGATCAATATACGAAACTCTAAAGTGGTCCTTCTGGTTAGGAAGAACTGCTTTTGAAAACCTGACTTTAAAAGATGCTATAAAAATGGCAATAAACACTATTAAATATTGAAGGATATGCTGACAAAGACAAGACACATATGGGGGAAATATATGACTGTATTGATGAAACACATTAAAAAGTCTTAAGTAGATGGATGGAGAGGTATTCTTTACACAGGAAGAAAATATTATAAAGATGTCAATTCTTTCTAAGTTAATCTATAAATGTAATGTAAATTCAATCAATATTTCAACAAGATAGGCCATGGTGGTGATAGAATTTAAATGATAAATCTAGGGTTACCCTCTCTCTTCAGAGAGCTTCTCCTGTCCTTCTCCTTATCTGATAATAAACTTCTTATTTATCTGCCTAAACTAAATAAACAAATAATAACTCTAATTCATGTCAGTTTTCGAAAATGTATATGCTAAAACAAATCCAAGAGGCCTCCCTGGTGGCACAGGGGTTAAGTCTCAGTGCTATCAAGCTATTGCCAGCCACTATGGCCTGAGTTCAATCCCTGGCCAGGCAGCTACCCACATGGCACAGCAGACCTCTCTTGGCTCCCCGCTACTCCCCTCGGCAGTGTATTTCAGTAGATCTGCCTGTTCTGTTCCCCACTCTGTCTCTGGTGAATCCTTTCACGGCCCTGTACCTCTGGCCTGTACCCCAATTCTTATATGCATAAATAAATAAATCTTTTAAAAAAGGAAATGCTCAAAAACAGTCTTTGCAACATTTTTTATAATACAAGAAAACAGAAACATTCACCAAAAGAGAATGAATGAATTGTGCAATACTCACACAGTGGGATATTACATAGCAGTTAAAAATGAATGATTCAGAAGAATATTTAACAATCCATTTACATTAATTTTTTTATAGAGGCTTTTTTTATTTATTTTATTTGTTTGTTTGTTTTGTTTATACATGCACTGGGTACAGTCAGAAGACTGTGAGAGGAGCAGCGGGCGGCAGGAGCGCCATGTGGGATCCTCCGCCGGTGGCTGGGGAGCAGCCGGGGATCGAACCGATGCCACAGAGGCCGCGGGCAGTTTCGCAACCCAGTGCTCAACCGCTGCGCCACCGGGGAGGCCCTAACAACCCATTTACATTATCAGGGTTAAGTTAGAAAACAGAAACAATGCTACAAATACAAGAGATGTAATGCACAAATTGCTTATCTATATCTATATATCTTTTTGCAAATGCCAAAAAGAAAAAAAAAAGGGATCCTAACTCAGAGAACCGCGGAAGTGCTACATGCTTAGCATCAGGAGAAAAAATGAGGGCAGGGTGTCACCAAGCTGGGAGACTCAGAGCCGAAACAGAGCTGGAGCTAGGGGTGTAAAGAAGAGGCTGCTGCATCAGGAAAAACATCAGCAAAAGTGAAAGGAAAACTAGACTTCTTTCATCTCAGTTCCTCCTACTGGCAGAACCCTAGGGAAAGCCAACTGGAAAAGGAGTTTGAAAAATGCAGATTAGAAGAAGGCCAATACAGGACTGAGAAGCAATTGGTGACTAGATAGAACAATGAATAAAAATACTGAGAAAAAAAAAAAAACAATTTGCAGAATAATATAAGCAGCATCATGCCATTTGCACATAACTTTGGAAAGCGTGCAGAAGCACACTAACTACACTGTTCAGGACTGCAGTCCCCTATATTTACAAAAACATGCTTGAAAATGATAATCAACAAATCACTGGTTACCCCAGTAAAGGGAAAAGAAAGGAAGCAGAAAAGAGAACAGAGGAAGCTTCAATTATATCTGTAATAGTTTGTTTCCTGGGGGAAAAAGATACAAGGATAGAAATATTGTTAGAATTGGGTGATGGGGAGGTGGGTGGTGGCACCAGGTTATTTCCATACTGCTTGTTGAAAAAAATGTTGCATCATTTAAAACCTGTATTGCTCTAAAGGCATCTCAGCTGCGATCCCACCCTCTAATTCTCCGCAGGCTGGGTCAGCACAGGGCCAGAGGGGACGAGATGACCCGTGGCAGCCAGGCGGGGCATGAGGGGCTGGGTGGGTGGGGTGTAGTGGGAATCCTCTTTCTGACCTGGCTCTGCGATGCCCTGGTCTCACAGTCTGCATTGTAAACAACTGCCATGTCTGAGCCACCCAGTGGGCCCTCCTGATTGAGAATCTGAATTCATTCAAAAATGCCGCATGCTGTCACTTGGCCTGACAAAAATATGGGAAGAGTCCATTTTCATTTCTGGGAGAATTAAGCCTGCAATCCTCTGCAGAGCTCTCCCTGCCTGTAGAGAGAATTGTTTTCCAACCAAGGTCAGGTAACACATGTACTTAGGTCTTGGATCATGTTGCACATTTAAAAATAGCAACTGCTTATATTTTTGGACCTCTGAGGCTACCGTGCTGAAATCAGAAAATAGCTGTTTTTTATACAACATCCTTGTAAATATTAACTAATATCTGTTTGATAAAATCATGTCTCTGGGTTATATTAAACACTACAGTGAATAATGACAGTCAAAATGCAAGATAGATCAATAAACCCTCTGGGTTTTTTTTAGTGGACATTTTCACAAACAGGATGCGATTTGGCTGGATTCATTAATATTAATATACACTGATACAAGTTGTGCTGAGGCTATTTGGAATTAGAGAATCAAAGCTGGAAGATATTTCAGAGGGGATTTGTCTGCCCTGTTGGGGAACTGGCAGTGGGCACAGTGGCTTCTTATTTTTTTTTAAAGATTTATTTATTTATGCATAGAAGAGCTGGGGTACAGGCCAGAGGTGTGGGGGGTGAGAGGATTCCCCAGAGACAGAGTGGGGAGCAGAACAGGTGGATCTACTGAAATACACTGCTGAGGGGAGCAGCGGGGAGACAGGAGAGGTCTGCTGTGCTATGTGGGTCACCTCCCTGGCCGGGGATCGAACTCGTGCTGCAGTGGCTGTGGAT